TTGTATCTTTCAGTAAAAGTTCTTCGAAAATCATTTTGTATCCATAAATCTTGACTTCAAATTATTTTTACAAATAAAGTACTCTATTTATTTTTATTCCGCCTTTCAAACTAGATCTCTCAGATGCAGTCTCTTCATGCCATTGTTAGACTCTTTTTCTGGCAAGTTGTGAATTCATCTGTTTTCTATTACTAAGTTTTCAACGTTTAGATATCTCATAAGAATGTCAAGGTCGATTTGTCATGATCATTTGCAAAAACTTGGTCTCATCTCTTATGACTATGAATTTTTGGACGACTTATTATGGACAGATGATTTTAAGTTAAAGATCTTTTGGAAATAGAAAAGCACGATTTGAATAATCATTACGATTTTTCTGAGAAATAATTCTTCACAATATAGGTTATCTAATTATTTTCTATAATTGCATAATTTTTGTCATATTCTCTTCTGAATTTTTTATAAAAAATGTTCCAATTTAAAATGGATAGTTTCTATGAATACTTTTGTTGCTACTCTTAAGATTTCAATGACCCTACCTACTTTATATAATGGTATCGCCTCATTCAGTGTTAATGATTTTTAGGTGATAATGCATTACTAAAAACACTTATTTCATGCCAGCGAACATTTAATTTAAATAGATACGTACGTTAAAAAGAATGCTTGATCAATTGATATGATGTATGTTTTCTAAATTTCTAAATATTAATGTTTGTTAAAAGTTACTTTTGAAGTAACTTATTGCAGCTACAAGTTATTTTCTAAAAATATAGCTAGTTATATTTCAAAGGAAATTATTTATATCACAAGTCACTTTATAAATTAATTATACCATTCCATCATGTCATCATTACTAATTATATATAATAATTTTGAGATTTACAGGAAAACACAGTTAAATAAAGAAAACTACATAATGTAATATTTATTTGCACTGAAAAAGAAATATGAAACATCATATATACTTACTAAAATATATATAAATAAAACAATATAATATTTATTTTTCAAAAATAATCGTTAATAAATTTTTATTCAACTTATAACAATAAATAATATTCAAATAGACAATAATTTTAAATTTAGAATATTATCATATAAGGGTAATGAATAATATATATATTTTTATAAGGAAAAGTTATTTTTTATTACATTCTAAAAATATAACAGCTTTTTTTTTGCAAAAATGTATCTTATTAATGGTAAGTAGTTAGTTTGTCACACTACTTAACATCAATAATGTCAAAAAAATAGCTATCTGGCCCGACTATAGCTAACTTTATAAAGAGGATGCTTCCACTATTAGCAACCAAAATGAATTGGTTTCAGGACAGCAACATATTAGTCAGCTAGTGCTCAACCTTTCTTACGTGCTTTTAAGAATCTGTTGTAATTGTGGTAATATTCAAATTTACTAGATTAAGAAAAACGAAAGATAGGCAAATTACTTATAAACAAAATTACGAAGACGAAAGATATTCAAATCTACTCAAGAAAAAAGAAATAAATCTCGATGCAAATTGAGACTATGTAAATGTTGATTAAAGAAAAAGGATATATAATGGAGAAATTATGATGCGAAAAATGATTAATTTTTGTTTAACTTAGATTTTAATTTTTACTTTTTAATTTTTACTTTTATTTTTATATATTAATTTTATTTTTCTTTTATTTTGATTATGTTTTTCATTTTGTAATTGATTATAATTATTTATATAATAAAGATTAATAATCATATTTAGTATATATTTTTATTTTATATTTAGGTTCTTAAGTTCACAATCCAAAAACGTCTGATTGTGACAGAATCATTTAAATTACAGTGGGTCCTAAATTGCTCTGTGATGTAAAATAGGTTTATGATCAAAATAGAGAATGAATAGATTCTCATATCATTCATATAAGGTAATTTCAGCTTTAACACATTTATATAAAGAATATTTTTAAAATAGAAACTTTTATTAACAAGTTTTAACCCAAAAATAAAATCAAAAAAAATGTGTAATTATACATAGATATAAAAAAAAAATGTCCTCAAAATTGGAACCATAATTGAATCTAAGCATTTATATTTATTGATTCCGAAAAACATCAATGTTAATGGGGAAAATGATTGACAACCAGAGTTTGAAACCAAGTCAAATCTAATAATTGGAAGTAAAACCATTTTTTAAAAAAATTTCAGGAACTAAAGTTACCTGGAAAAAAAAATCATAATCTAAACCCTCTTTAGTTTAGGTTCTAAACTTGGGATGATGAAATATGTAAAGGTCTTAGATAGATTTAATTTTTAGAAAGCTCGTGGATTGTTAGCAAACCAACAGGTCCTAAATCGTTCTTTCTGGTTTGTAGGCAGTAATGGTTAGGCAATATAAGTATCTAAGGGGATTTATATAGGTTTTTCTCAACCCGTGGTTTATATTTTAAGAAGCCCCGAAGCTATTTAGCAATCTGTAATGAACTCGAAATAGCCATATACTAAGTATAGATTGTAAGGTCATCATTAAAACTAAATGTACATGTTTGTCATATTGAAGACCATCATCTGTTTAACATATAGCTTTAATTCCCCTGGTAAAATGGTTTCCCTTTTCCTTAATCGACATTAACCTATTTTTGTATTGCCGTGGTAAAAAAAATCGAAAATCAGGGATTCACCGAAGAAGAAAATCCGGGTTTTTAGAAAAAAATCTGAACCCGAACCGAACCTAGATCCCGTTTATAAAATTTTCAAAATACTGAACTGAACCCGGAAATTTTATTTGAACCCGGGTTCTACCGGGTTCAGTGTATTGTTTAAATTCATATAAGATATTTGTACAATTGTAAATACAAATATTATAATTTAATTGAGATTTTATAATATTTTCAAATTTCCAATTAAGTGAAGTGTTAATAAATTTTAAACAACTTAATTCATTTACGCCATTTTTAAATTTATTCTCAAAATTCCTATTGGAGTAATAAATTTTAAACAATTTCTAACTTACTCTCAAAGATTATTAATTAAAGGAAAATGAAAGTCAACAAGTTAAAGTAAAAATTATTATATTGGATATTGTTAATTTAAGGAAATGCGTCTAAATAAAATTTAAAAATTGATATATGACTATGCTATATTTTGCCTATAAATAAAATAAAAAATTTATTTTTTATACCAAATTTATATCTAGTTTTTTTAATTATGATTAAATATAGAATTTTTTTATCAATACAAAAATTCTACCCGAGCTGAACCCGGAATCAAATCCGAGTTCAAAAATATTTCCGATATCAAGAAATGAAGTAGAATCTGATGGAAGAGTCCAATTAAGTTTTTAATTGATGCTATGAATCTCTCAATTAATTTTAAAAAATTTAAAATAATGATTTTTGAATTTCAATTAATTTTTAATTATTTTATTGTTTATTTATTTATTAATCTAGTATACTTATTAAGTAAAAATTAGAATAATTTAATATAAATATACTGAATTTGATGTACAAAATATACATATTCCAAAAATAATTAATTCAAATTAAATTTATATAGTAAACTTTAAATTTTTTATATGTATATTAGGAAGTTAAATCTTTTATATTCTACTACTTTTCACTACTATACTCATTAATAACACATATACGGTTAGGGTGTAGTTCCACCCCTATATAATTTTATATTTGGGTTACTAGTAGTGTTGTTAAACGACTCGTTTTGAGCCGATTTTTTAAAATGGCTAACTCAATATTTTAGTCAGAAAGATATTGCCTAAGCCTCGAGATTTTGATAATATATGTCTAGACCTTTGTTCCTTCTATGATCAAAATCTTCAGGTTTGCGTAATATTTTTCTGGATGTTATATTGAGTTAGCCGTTTTTAAAAATCGGCTCAAAACGAGCCGTTTAACAACACTAAGTTACTAGGTTTGATGGCTTGATATAAAAAAAATAGGTATAATTATATAGAGGATGGGCCTTCATATTCACATCCTCCATATAATTCACGAACGCTCATTTAGGGTAGATCCATGACCAACGTGCTAGATAAGATAAGTACTTTTTTAAATGTGAAAGAAAATTTTAAAAAAGGATTAAATAATATACATGTTAGCGTCAATGTGTTACTTTCAGCAATGTGTACATTAATTTTTTTTCAGCGCAAGGTGAATTGTTCTTTCGACAATGTACACTATAGGTCTGCATTGGGTGGGTTATGGGCGGGTGGGCGAGTATATTTTTTAAAAAGCTATGGTAGGGTTAAGTGATTTAAATTTTTTAAAATATTGAAAGGGCGGACTTGTGGGCTAAAAACTCGCACTTTGCAAACCACTAATATACACATTGCTTGGTTAAATCAGGCAATGTGTTTATTTGTAATATTATATTATTAATACTTTTTTAACATTAGTATTTTACTTGGTTAATTAATAACATTTTTTTATATATAATATATAATTTTTAAATATATTTTTTTTAAGATGATTTTATATTTTACGTACTTTATTACTGATATCTTTTGATCTTCAATTTTTTAAATATATTTTTCAAGATGATTTTTCATATATTTTTTGCGTACTTTTTTTTATAAGATATCTTTTATTCTAGATTTAACCACATTGCTGAAAAATAACCAATTTTCCCGCCTACCATAATAAACACATGTACACATTCCCGAAAAAAATAAGTTGACGCTAAGAAACACATTACAGATCCACAGGCTCAATTTCGGGACAGACAATGCGCAAAATATTTTAAAAAAAAATTAATATTGACCGAGAAACTTGTACCAAATTTATTTCGAAAAACTTTTCTAAAAATTCTTAAAAGGTCGGTTCGAACCGATCTCTAATATAGACATAATTACTATATAAATGAACTCAATGAATGCTTTCTACCTCAAGGAAATAAATACATTCTTTTTATGAAAATAAAAAAAATTTACGGTATTTTAATTAACGCCATTTAGCTTAGGTAATTCTTGGAATAAGTGTAAGCGATATTGGAAGAATGAATTCTATTTTATTTATCGCGTAATAGTTGTTTTATCACATACATATAATTTAGGCAAGAAATTAATATCAAAAAAAATATTGGCCAGAGTAAATGTTTTTTAACATTATTCAAGTGACAATATAATCCAAAATATAATAAATAGGAGTAAGTGAGAAACGTTAAATTTCCCCTTTGCCGAAATGCAAAGATGATTTAGATATATCGTATCGGAAAATATTCCTATCATTGGTAAACGCTGAAACTTGATCAATGCCTGTCGGTTGATTGGTGGATACCAGCTGATCGGTTAAGCACTCAAAAATATGCCGGTTTTGGGCGATCGATTGATCGGAATAGAGCGCCGTGACATAGTTATCAGGAGCTGAAACGAAGGTCAGATTGCTAATGATTGAAGATGGCCGCGATATCGAGCTAGAAAATGGACAGGGAAGGGAAAAGTAAAGAGTCCATAATGGATTCGAAGTCTTCATATTTTGAGAATCGTTAAGATGCGAAGAATGGATGACTTAGGGGTTTATATAAAGAAAGGGGAGGGGGGTGGTAAGGAAGTTTATAAATGGAAAATGATCAATATATTTTTGATAGTGATGTGTTTATCATAATGTTTTTAATACTTTGAGTATAATTGGACTGCACTTGTTCAAGTACCAATAATTTATTAACCACTTATAAACATATTTCATATTATAACCTTATATGGTTATAAATTTTCCTTCTGGACTGATAGAATCTTAATAAATTTTGCTATGTTTGGTTCAAGGATATGGTTTATCTTCTTCAAACGAACGATAATCCATGATATTTTGATTTAAAAAGAATATTTCATTATTAAACTTAAAAACACTTTTTTTTTTCATTTTTATAAAAATTATTTTTACGGCTCGGCCATTTATTTAAATATAGAAAAATTTAATTATATTTTTTTGATTGTAAAATAAATATTCTAAAAATAAAAAATATTAGCGCCTTGTTTCTTGCAAAAATTTTAAAATATATTAATTTATTTGACAATAGAAATGATATCATATTTAAAAATTTAAGCCCGACCCGGCCCGGCCGGAAATTTTTAAAAAAATATTAGGCCCAACCCAATTATTTTCTTTTAAAAAATAGACCCGGCTGAGCCCGTACCAGATCTCTAATAGGAATGGCATGGCAAAGTTTATCACAAATTCAAGCAAGAAGAAATAAGTCGAGATATTTTTAGAACAAATGAATGGCCACCTTACGGATACATTTTAAGTCGGCACCCTACATGGAATTATGGTAGAATTATAAATTAACTATAATATTTTAAATAATAATATCCAAGATCAGATTTAAATGGACTAAAAGTCAATTAATATAATAACCAGAACAATTTTTCTATATAAAATAAGATACAATAAAAAAATTACAGAATTTGAGTATGTAATGTGTTAGTGTTTTAAGTCGCATTTATAGCAAACGCGCTTTTCTCAAGCGATGTGAAATTAATCGCTAGCAAAATTACAGCTAATTTTTGAAATATACGTAAACAGCTGTAGCGTTTTAATCGTTTTGCTTCGTATGTATAATTTTGAACTATACGCAGCGATTAATTTATCATCGCCTGAGCAAAACGCTCTTACTATGAATGAATCGTTAATAACCCTGTAACTTTCCTCATTGTTTTATGCCTGCACCTTCCTTATTGTTTTTAAAAGTTACTTTATTTATGTAATGTAGTTTTTATGTGTAGAGGTATAAGTTAATTCATACAAAATATTATTTTATAAAAAGAATAACCAAACAGGAGAGGGTTTATAGCCACCCTTGATAACTTAATTGTTTTTCATAGGTATAAAAAAATTTGTCAGCATCTTTGTTAAAAAACTGGCATTATGCGAGGATGTGCCTCTGCATAGTTGATGTAAGTTCTCAAAGGGGCGAGTTGACCTACGTTTAAATAAATTTTAAAAAATCAAGTGTCAAATATAGGAATGTCTTTTGTATCCGCTATTAGACTAACTATTAATTGTGGGAAATTTACTTGGGCCATTTTAAAATCATAGATATAGTATAATCAAGAGCCAGGACCTATTTGATAGCCTGCATCTCGCACTATCATTTATTTTCCATTAAAAATAACACTGTGCTTTCTTTCGATTGCGCAGATAATACATCATACTATGCTTTGCAAGCAAAAAATGTTCGTTGCGTGTGGATATATACCTCAGACTTTGTAGTTACATGCATACTTTAAAAAAAAACAACCATTTATATTATAATATTTTAAATTCGGCTAAAAATTTCAACAAACTAAAATTTCTCAAATATATTTATGTACCGGGCCGCTAGAAGTCTAAGCATGGCTTTGACCTATATAATAACGTGAGACTTCCTAAAAAATAGCGCCCAAGTTTTAGAGCAAATAGCAAAGAGCACGAATTTGATTATAATACGTGAAAATATGATGGTCACTATTAAATTCCCATTTTGCTCTTAACTTTTTTAAAAAAATGAGATTCCCTTCTTTTTTTAAATAACACAATTTCAAAAAAAAAAATAATTCGGATTTCAAAAGACTAAGATTTTATCACGGTATTAACTGGCACTTCGAACTATTAACTGAGAGCTTTGGCTATTGAATTGGCTATATTAAACGAAATGGCTATAAATGACAAAACGCAACCCCCAACCCATTAAAAGCTAGTGAACGATTTATTTAGTAAGGTAAAAAAAAAATATTAGGTATCATTTAAATTTTAATAAAGTAGGAAACCCGAGTCCCAGCAGGTTCGACTTATTTTTGATACTCAGCTCGAAACAGCTTTTGAACAAGGATACCCTATTTTTGCTTGTATCAAGTGTTTGGCAGCATTGTTATTTTTCGCATTTTTTTCTCTCTTACTTTTTAGGCTGCTGTTTCAAAATAGATCAAACCAGAATATGGCCGAAGGGTCATTTTTTAAAAAAAATTCTATGAATTTATGCTATTCTTTAATTCAAAATATTTGTTGAAAGATGACATTTAAAATTATAATGCGAAATTTAAATGAACAAAAATTTCGAACGCACAAATAAAACCTGATTTTATAAAAGGTTCCAGTACTTCTCGAGGACTTTTTTTAGAAGGAGTTTCTCCCTTCTGGTCAATCAAGGGAGAAGAAGAGGTAACGTGATACAAATAATAGCCAATCGGAACGCAATATGACACGTGACTTAGTTCTAAAAGTTGAAAGGATTCGGTGCTTTGTTGATTTCCATTTGGTTCATCAATGTCAGAAAAATTTTGAAAAGAGTGTAAGAAAGAAATCTGTAGGGAATGGGGGGGGGGGATAATAAATTTTTTTTAAAAAAATCCTTTTCCATATATATATTTTCTACCTTAGAGGTCCCAAAATCTTTATCGCAATGCGAAGAGTCGCATAACGAATAATCGATGAGAAAAATAGCGCGTGGATATCTTTGCTGGGGTGAAAAATCGAATTCCTGCTCCCCGAAAATAGGTGAGCGAAGAATATCTTTTCGGTATTTTTGTTCTATAATTACGTGTTTAAATTTCGTCTTTTGCCCATTGATAATAGCTGAAGTGCATCTAGTATATTAATTTTAAAATAAATAATGATATTTTGATAAAATTTTTAAATTAAACATTTGCAAATAACCGGATTTTATGCTTAATGACACGTCATGAATTTTATTTAGCACTCGATTTCTATTTTTTTTGGCTGGAGAAACTGATTGCTAGGAATTAATAAGTACTAGTCAGAGGGCACCGATGGTATAAGCCAGGTTATATATTTTTCGTTAGGGCATGATGTAATTCATTTAAATTTACTAATAAAGTCCCAAGCATTCAAATAAATTTTCGGAATTAGTGCTTTAAATCAATTTTTAAGAGTACTATAGTTCAGTTGGCTAAGAATTTATTTTTGGCTAATGACTTTTTTCCCCATATATACTGGCCTTATTATTAAATAGCCAAAAAATCAAAAAAAATAAATTAATAAATACGAAAAATAACAATGCACCAAATATTAAAAAACCCAAAAAGGGTGTTCTAACTCAAAAGTTTTTTAGATGAAATAAAAAATAATTAAGTGGATCCGCTTGAAATCAGAAATCTGCAGAGATTTTTTTTTAATAATGGCGATTTAAAATATTTTGCCAGCCCGGGTATTTTAAAAAAAAATTTTTTAGGCCCGGCCCAGACCGGGTATATTTAAAAAATTAAAATACGACCCGACCCGTGTACCCAGGCTGAGCTTAGGACCGGGCCTATAGGTCTCAGCTTGAAATATTGGCCTTTTAGATTAAGTATTTTTAAAAGTTCGGTCAACTCGGAGTATATGATAGATATTTTTTTAACAAAAACAACAAAAAAATAAAGGTAAATAAAAAATATAATCATGAAAATCACTAATCAGAATTTTATCATTTGAAGACTTGAAGGACGAGTAAATGAGAAATTTACAGGCACCGCCTCGCAAAATAAAAATCGTAACATCCCCTCCCCCCGTAAAAAAAATATTGCCTTATCATTGAATCAGGCAATCAACCACTTTCATCGTCCTTCATGGTTTTCAAATCACTTTGTTTTTTCCCCCTTACTTCCTTTATTAGCATAATAATACAAAAATGATATAAGGATCCTTTTTTGATTAGACAGACATGGATTCCTTATATAATAACAGCTTTTTCAAAAAATAGTCTTTTATGATTTTGAAACAGGACACTATTCGATTATAAATATATAAATGATTAAAACATTATTTTAAAAAAAAAATTAACTCATAATTTTTGGCGAGAGAATTCGAAGAAAGTGGTGCTTCCGACTGAGAAGACGAAGGAATTTGATTATTAATAGCAGTATCCTCGTCGGGAGGACGTTTTTTGAGTATCAATCCTTTATTTATTCATTCAGATGAGGGGGAGGGGGGGAAATTTTATGAATAAATGACTAATATAAAAAATATACATTAAAAAATGCTGTAAAATAAAATTTTACAAACCATCTATGCGAGTATTGAGCACGAAGGTGACCCTATCGTTTTGGCCACTACTCCCGTAAACAGCTGAGAGTCTGCAAAATGCTTGAGGTAATTCGCCACTACCAAATACGGGAAACAAATAGGGTAAAATCTCCATTTCGGTATTAGTATCTTTCCGGTATATTATAAAGTAAATATTAGTGTTGTTAAGGTTGCCTTGTCAACAAAGTAATGTAGGGAATATTATACCTGGTCTAGTAAAGTAACAAATCTTGGTAATCAAATGTGCCAGTAACATTATAGATTATAGTTCCATAGATATTTATAAATAATATTTTTTCTTGCATGAATTTATATTATTAATCAAAAACAGACTAGAAAATTTATAGGTTTGAAGAGTAAGACTATACTCACCGAATAACAACTTAATGATAAATCATAATATAGGTATAGGAGTTTTAAAATCTTAAAAATTTTCTTTCAATGTTGTCGAAATAGGAGTCAGCTCATTTCGTTTAAAAAAAATTTATCTGTTCAAATATTTTTCTTAAAAACCCTTTGCTCAAATGCCCCTAAATTTTTGCGCATCATCACAATTTTGATTGTCATTTCGCCACTATAATTATATATAAAATTGTTCATTCTTTAAATTATTTTCCTTAAATTTGTTCCGATTCTTACCTAATCTAACCATAGAGTTGAAAATGGCGGACAGTTATTTTTTTAGTATCAAATTAACAATCGTTTTTGTTGTGATGTTTTTGCCTTTGAATTAAATATAATTTTACTCTGCGAGTTTGAATACTTGCTGGGTTATTTATTAAATAAGTGGAAAATAGTGATGCAAAATAGCTCCATCTGAGCCGATTTTTGAAAACTAACTCATTATTTTCTCCATGCCTGAATATTTTGTATATATTATGGTACAAAGATTTGGACTTCTATTAGCGAAATCTAAGGCGTAGGAAATATTTTTCTGGCTAAAATATTGAGTTAGCCATTTTTATAGATGGCTTAAATTAAGCGAAGTACAAGATTTATAATTTATTTTTTGTATGGTTTATATATTTTTTTAACTTCTATTTTTTAGTGTTTTGAATACTGCGACCATTAAAAATGTAAAAATTATTAGGTAGACAAAATGTTCATATAAAGTTACTTTTATTCACGTTCTTGAAGTTTTGAAATATGAATTTATTTTTCAAAAATAGTTGAAGCAAGACACACATAAAAATAACCAGAACATCATTGAATTAAGGATTATTCGACATGGAAATATTTAAAAGTGATAAATCTATTCAACCAATATTTATTTTTTAAAAAAAACAATAGTAAACATAGTAAAGAAGAAAATAAAATAAAAAATAATAATTATAAAAAAAAATGTAGAAACCTTCTAAAATTTTATTTGGATCGTTGGATTTATCATCCATCACATTATGACCTGTTGTATACGTTAAATTTTTGACTAGTTCAAGGCTTGAGCAGAAACGTTTCAAAGCTTTAACGCCTTCCAACGGTGATTCGTCTGAAGAAGTAAAGGTTATAGCGGAAGTTAGGAAATGTATCAATCGTGGTGTCATGCTGTAAGGGGGGTTTTGAAGGTAGGTCATGAATGTAGTTGAATCTTTATAGGAAATATTAAAATAGTATATTATGTAAAGGGAAATTATAGATTTGAGGCTTCGTTTATTGACTCATTCAGATCGGAAAAAATTAATATATTTTGTAGGACTATTTTTAACTTAAAGTAATTAAGTATCTTATGCATAAATGCAGCTGGATTTTGCAAAGAGATTCCAATTTTTCATTTTTCAGCATAACTTAATTTCCATTCCTTCATTTTTCATAACCCAATAAATAATATAAATAAACCATCTGTCTTTTCGATTTCATAATGATCACAGTTTAAAACGAAGGAAATTAGTTTCATGAGAGAACGTTTTTCTACGATGGACAGTTTATCGCTTCTAAATATTTGAGATCTGTTACAGGGAACCTTCGTGTTTTTTTTAAAAATTAAACTTTTATTTGTTGTTTTTAAAATTTGTTTATTTTTCTGCCCAAATGCTTTTAAAATAGAAGTTGTATGGGAATCGAATGGATATTTAAATGCTGAATATGTGATTTCTGATAAAATTAAATATATTGAATACTAATTGGTTAAATGGGGATGTGACAATATTATTGCCGATATTAAAATGTTATAGATGTTTATATCATGGAATTGGCACAAGTTACAAATTAAATTTTTAGTGCATAAGCATCTTAGAATGTTAATAAAACTTTTAAATTTATCAAACAAAAAATATTTTAAGGCATGGATATTGGCAAATAAAATCAACCTATGCTTTGGTTGGATTGGTTTTTAACAATTTTTTTTGCCTATACATTTATAATCAGGTCATTTTAATATTGGCAAAAATATAGGCAAAGCCCTAGTTAAATTAATTTAGGTTTATCCAGGTTTTCTAAAATAAGATTGCTGCAACAAAAATATGAGATTTTAGTTTATTTTTGAAAAGTTAAAAACAAACACATTTTTTTGTTTTGTTTTGCAGTATCCTCTTACTATCCATTTTTGAATATTATTATGAAATCTTATTTTTATAAGATTAAGATTTATAGGGATTATATTTACCTGGACTAATTTACCTTGGTACATTGTCATCAATAGATTCACTCTCTGAAACTCCAAATATTTTGAAGTATTTGAACTAAGTAATAGTTTAAACATTGAACTGCCTGCCATTAGTAATTTTGGGCATAGGTCAATGTTGAAGGACCTGCTCAATTTCAGCATATGTTTGATGTCTATTGTTTTAACATTCATATCAATGTTTGTGCTACCATCATTATTTTTTTCTGCTACTTCTAGAGAAAGAACATTATCTCTCATGCCATAATCATCTCTTATAAAAATATTTTGTAATTTAAAGAATGGATAAAAAATCAAATGGGTAATAATTATTAGCAAAAAATTAATTTGAAAATAAATTCTCTACTTTTGATTTAAGACAAATTCAATGTCAGATAGATCCAAAATATTTTCACCTAATTTGTGAAATATTTCACCTTGGTCTAGGAAATTTTGATAATTTAATGATTCTTCTAATAAAATTGAATTTGAGTTATCTTCAAAATCTGAAACCTTGTGATATCATAAAGAACATTACATATAACAGGATAATACTATTTTTTTATTTTCTATTATGTCTATCAAATGCTGAAATGAAAATGATGCATTAAGTCCCCCATAAAAAGAATTGCTAGGTAAATTTATATACTAAATAAACTCTTAGGATTTACCTATCAATATGCAATATTTTGAATCCCATGCAAGATAATGCCGCTGACAATATAGATTCATTCAAGCCTAAAAATATATTGATACATTAAACAAAGGCATTGCAATTGAGTTAGATGTTCAATATAAATTTTATTTTTTATATATTAGGGAAGTGCAAAAAATAAAATTTGAATTAATAATAGTTGTAAAATATCATATTTTAACATAGATAATATTGATTAATTTTTACCTGTCCCTATAATCAAAATATCTACATTTTGAGGCAATGCATTATTTGCCATATGATTAAAAAAGAGAAGATGATTTAATCTAATATTAGTATTAAATATTGTAGCATTTAAAACGAACGGCTCGCATTCCTTGATGACCTCGAAAACATTGTTAACTCTCTTCCTAGAAGTCGTAATTTGATAATCCTTGGGGACTTAAATACTAGGATCGGAAAAGATGACTCCTTTATTAGAGATGGGGTAATTGGGAATAGCTCTCTCTCAATTAAACAGTGATGACAGTAGGAAGTTATTAGAGATGTGCAGGAGTATAAACCTCAAGGTTGAAAATACTTTCTTTTCACACAGCGAATCTAACACCCTAACCTTCAGGAGGAATATTACCAAATCTCAGATCGATTTTATCATCTCGAACATTCATAGCTGGTTCATCGATGTAAAAGCAATACCTAATATAATATTTCTGATCATAACTTAATCAGAGCCAGTATTACTGTGAGAAATTTATGGGGAAACTCTCGGCGTCCTTCTCTTCAACCCCAGCCTAGATACCTTTCCTGGAAAAGGAATGCAACACACCTGCAACGTCCTGCAGTCAAACTACAGCTCGATCTATTCTTAAATTATATGGAGGCAACTTTCTTATCCTCATCGGAGTCTCAGTCTGTTGAAGAATGTTGGGTGTCTTTCAAAAACAACTTGTTTGATGCCTGCAATCATCTCCCTAACATCAAAAATTCTCCACCAAGACAGAAATGGCTATCCGATGACACCATTCGCATGATAGCTCAACTCAAGCTACAAGGAGAGCGATCATTTATGGACCTCAATTCATAGACTCCTAAGGAGAGATAGAAGGATTTTTATTGCTAAAAAAGCTTTTGAGATAGACAGGGATATGAGGGAGAATAGAACTTTCGACGCCTACAAGAAACTAAATTATTTTTGTAAAGCCAAAGTGTTTAAGACACTTCCAACTATAAGGCTGGATAATAATAAGTTAATTACTGACCCCGACGAACAGATGGCGTTATGGCTGGATCACTATATGGGAGTCTTTGATTCTAGGAGGCCTACCTTAATCCCATCCACTAGTCAAAATGTTGGACAATTGGACGCAAACTTTTCATAGGCTGAAATTGTGGCCGCTATTAAGAAGCTTAGGAATAATAAATCTCGGGATACGGATAACATTACAGGAGAACATCTGAAAGCAGCTACCTTAGCGATCTCTCGGTTCTTGCTGCCTTTGTTTAACAAGATATGGTTTACTGGGATGATGCCAGCGGATTGGAATATGGGACTATCTTTTGCAACTTCCCGAAAATTCCAAATCCATCTAAATTCAAGGATTATAGAGCCATCGCTCTCACGTCTATTGCATCAAAAATTTTATGGTTCTTTTAAAAACCGCATTCTTTCCTCTACACCTAACCTTTTGTCTAAATACATTTGTGCTTACCGTCCAAGTAGAAATATAAACGAACCAATATTAGCTTTAAAGATTATAATGCAGAAATGTGAGAAGTATAAATTACCTTTTTACTTTATTTTTATCGACTTTAAACGTGCTTTTGATAATGTTAACCATGATGCGCTTTGGAAGATTTTAACCGAATGTGGCATTGACTCTAATATTATAAGGATCCTTAAAACATATTATAGTAGTCTTTTTGCCTCCTTAAAAATCAATAATAAGGTTTCTCCATCTTTTTGGACAAAAAAAGGGGTAAAACAAGGGTGTGTTTTTTCCCCGCTATTGTTTAATATACTTATGAATAAAATCATAGTAGATACGCTGGCTACTGCGAATCTCTTAGAATTAAGGTCCAGTCAGTCGTTCTTCTTGGAAAATAGGGTGATATGTTATGCTGATGACATAGTATTGATAACAAAAAGTTTGGAAGAAACCCAAAATTTGATCTTTATATTGAACTCCTTTAGTTTTAAGATTGGCTTGGATATTAACTTTGATTAAACAGTGATAATGCCCTCGTCTCTGGCGCCTCTTCTGAATAATTTGGTGGTAGGGGGAAAGTTAGTTAAGGTGGTGAAATCCTTTAAATATCTATAAGTAACCATTGACAATAAAGGTAGTTGCAAAGAAGAACTAAAAATTCGTATACAAAATGCTAGGGCGGCTTTTTATAGATTTTTTAAACTGTGGAAAGCTAGAGAGATATCCGTTTTCACAAGACTCCGTATCTTCAACTCAACCATCATCCCGATTCACTTTTATGGCGGTGATACATAATTGTTTCTACCCTAATATTATCTCAAATGAAAACCTTTGGAAGATGTCTAACCATACCCAAGTTCACGTGTCTTTAAAAAAGAAGCGTATTACTTTCTTTGCCCATATTTTGAGAAACCATAGTAACAATAGTCTCGTTATCGATGCCATTAATTGGTTATACTCCTTTAATGGGAAAACATATTGCAAATATAAGACATTATGGTTCTACAGAGCCTTGAAGGACATAATGGATCTAAACTTAAATTTGAAGCAGTTCCTAAGGCTAAATAAAAACAAAAAATCTATAAAAAAATTACTAAAAATTAAATCGAACTACCTAAACCTCTCATAATTTTTTTATTTTTTATTTCTGTATTTTCAGGTTATTTAATTTCTTCATTTCTCAACTTACCTCCTGACTTTGTCTTTGACCTTTTCTATGTATTACTTACTTCACTTACATTAGCTTTTATTTATCTTATTCACTAAATGTAGTAATTTAAATTAGTCCGTGTTATATTTTTAATTACATATACAATGTCTTAGGTGTTTGTTGCACTTCTATACATTTCCCATTATATGAGTTAAGATATATTAATGACATTTAAGAAATAGTTTGTGATTTGCGTTTCTTATGTGGGCTAGAAATTAATCTTTGGCTATTTTTAACTTAGTTCTTGCGTATGTTTTGTATTTTTCCATAGTTTTTGAGTTCGAAAAGTATTCTGAGGTAGAGGGTATCCTCTTTTGTTTATGAGATATTTATTTGTTTATAGTCATCTATTTCTTTTATTTTATTTTTTATTTATTTTTTTCTTCCCCAGTTTTTTTGGTTTCTCTAACATGTTCGCCCCCTCCATAGACTAATATAGGAATAGTGGATGTGCCCTCAGTCTAGAAAACACCGATTTCTCTCTCATCTTCCATACTTTTTGTATACGTTTAAAAGTTTCCACTCGCCTTTGTATTCTAGTTTTTCTTCTTCTCTGCAACTACTTTTATTATTAAGTATATTTCCCAAATACATTGTGACTACATTTACCCTGTTCTAACTATAAGTTTTTGAAGTGGTTACTTGTTTTCTTTTGAAAAATAAAGAGGAAAACTGTTTTTAACGTCTTTAACTTTTTTATTTTTCAAAACATTACATCTAAATTGGAGTCTACATAAAATGCATTGGTCGTTGCCAGTGTTTCTCGTTTGTTTTTATTTTTATGTTTTTATTTATTTAGGAGTGGCAAGAGTTTAGCCTTGTTTTACTCCTTTTTACCTTGGAGGCAGGGGATTTTCTTCGTCATTGATTTCGAAGCATCCAAACATGTATTAGTGGTTTTCTAGATCTGGAAGATGTCGGGGTCTTCCCTTTTCTGACAACGAAGCTGCATGGTTAACCAGAGTTGTACAAAAGATCTTCTTTGAAGATTTTTGAGTGAGATCTAGCTCAAAAAGCAAGATCTTTGAAGATCGTAAAATTTGAAGATCTTTTATTTTTTAAAAATTTTGTGTAACGATCTTCAAAGATCTTCATGATATTTATTTTTTTACCCCTTTATTAAAAGCCCAGATGTTTTTCAATTTTCATCAAGGCAGGAGGAGAGGTATAAAACATAAAAGAAATATTATATTAATAAAATTGAAAAACATCTGGGCTTTTAATAAAGGGGTAAAAAAATAAATATCATGAAGATCTTTATAGATCGTTACACAAAATTTTTAAAAAATAAAAGATCTTCAAATTTTACGATCTTTGAAGATCTTTTTATTTTGAGCAAATGTACAACTCTGTGGTTAACATTATCAATAGCTCTGCTATAATTTACAAATGTAAAGTAGAAGGGGGTTTGTACTTACTTTCTCTGCATAATTATTTCTGAATTAATTTTTGGCTCCTGTATTTTCTTTTCTTGGCCTGTATATACTTTTGTGTTTTTTTTTTTTGGGGGGGGGGGGGAAGATTCGGTGTAGGTAATACGCTTGTGGTTTTTTGTAAAAAATAAAAATAATTTTTTTTTTTCCATGCTACAGGATGTGATGGCTATAGCTCAATAACCCTTTAATTTCTGTGATCTTAGTTTTTGGGTAGTTACTTAGGTAGGTTTTGTTCCATCCCACTGCAGTAGTTCTGCTCTCCCATATTTTATTGAAAGAGGGCAAATAGGTAGCGATTTTGTTATAGGTGCTACTTTTGGTTTTTCTGCTATGATATTATCTAGCCTCAGAGCTTTGTTTTTTCTTCGTCTTTGACCATTTGTTATTTCATTTATGGAGAATCCAGTTGACAGGGGGGTGGCGAGGTTTTGTAACTATGTTTGTTGGTAGAGTCTTTCCGTGAGCGATGGACTATCATATAACAATCAAGCCATAATGCCTTTTGTTGGTCCTGGCCAACAATTACTTTTCCATTTCCTAAAACTTACGGAGCTGGTTCCTATTTCTGCGTCATAGTTCCTTTCTCTCATATCTTTATCATTATCAAAGACCTTTTTCGCTATATAATCTATCTATCACTCCATAGAGTATTTTGTTTCTCTGGAAAAAAAAAACCTTTGTTGTGGTGTTCGTTGCTGGATAGTTATAAACCTATTACTGACTAGTTTTTGCCTATTCACTGGAATTTTTACCTATTAAAACAATTTGCGGTAACCCATTAGCTTTTTCTTATTTTCATGAATAAATTCTAATCTCAATTGATACGAACACATTCTCAATTATTGATAGTAATTATCAAGGCTTACATTAGATGTTAAACTTAAAATTAGCCACCACCCACCCTTAAAGTAATTAAATTATTTTTGCAGTTCTTGGGTATAGGCTTTTGTTTTGCCCATTTCTTTTGTTTATTAGCTTATAGACGTTTAAGCA